AACTAGGATAATATAATTTTAGAAACAGACTTAGACCAGTTGGTTATTTTGACTAACAACACTGCATTTGGATTATCATAAGTTACAAAAACAAATTAGATGGGAACCCTCACGCGTACTTGGATGAGGAAACAGTGTTCTACTGAAAGTGGTAAAGCTCACATGATTTTGACATTGTTGGTACAAGAATGTTGACTCCAAGTCTAAAAAGACCATAATTTCATTGTACAAGTATATAGTAAGGCCTCATTTTAAGTATTTTGTGTAGTTATGGTCCCTTATTTCAGGAAAGATAATTACTTATTGTAGCGGATTCAAAGGAGGGCTATAATGTACTAGAATGAATCAGAGAACGTTTGGGTTGTCATATAAGGATAAGTTGAGATTTTTAATTTTTTTTTCTTGAAAAGCAAATGGTCAGGGGATTTAATTGAAGTATTAAAGATCACTACAAGAATTGATAAAATTGATGCATCAGATCTTTTGTGTTGAAATTTAAGAATAATATGTCAAGAGTTCATAAGTTTAAACTTTTGAAAGGTCAGACATATCTCAAATTGAGGATGTTTTATTTCTCCAATGGGTTGGAAAATTTGCATTCTAGAGTAGGAAAGGCTGTAATTTTACAAGAGTTTAAGAAAATGAACAATGAATATTTGAGGTATCATGGTTGAATTTAAGGATTAGTTTTGTTTTTTAAGGGAGATTGTTAGTCAGGGCATACTGGGTGTATCAAATCACTCCTTGATGTCCCATAGTTAAAAGAAAACAATTTTCAGGTTTATTTTGTGACGTACGGAAAGAGTATGAAAAATATTTATTTAACTCTTGTTGAGTGTTTATGGCAAAGTTTCAAAAGGAATATCAAGCTAAAGAAAGTGATAATTTGACTGTCACTTTTCAACTTCCACCACTACAGTACCAACTAACTCACTCCCACCCACCTGAACTTGTTGAAATTAGTGATAATGAAATTGCTGAAAAAATTAGAATATTTCTTATTTTCCACTTGAGATGTGTAACTATCTAACACCTCAAATAATATGATGCAAAAGCAAGTCTGCATGAAGCTGGAATTACTAGATTCATTGTTAGAAAGATGCCAGACTAGAAAAGACAGCATGGTCATCCATTTGCTCATGTTTTTTTTTACAAGCAACACCTCTTTCATTATTATGCTTATGTCACAAACTGTATTTAATCTACAAACTTTTCAGCCATAAGAAACCAGCAGAAAACCTTAACATTGAAAAAACAAATGTCTAAAAAATCATTCTTTAATTAGGGAAGATCTCATGTTTGCAACATATCTTACACCTTAAGTAGTATTTATAATGAAAGGGTAATTAACTTTATTGTAGCCACTCTATAGCCAGTTTTTTATTCATTTGCCAGCACTGATAAATGTAAACACATTATAAATTACAATATATATATATTAATTTTGACAAATTATTAATGATTTGAGACAATCAAAAGTATTTTCCATTGTAACAGATAAAACATCCAATATGAGAGCCACTTTGGAAACACTGATGAATGAGAATCCACACCTCCAATGGTGTGGTTGTGCACTGAAGTGTATACACTATGCAAGTTATATAACATCTTGTCAATTTTCATACACCAATGTACTGTACGTGGCCTAAACCTTTGGAAAAACTGATTAACAATAACAAGTAATAATTATAATACTAAATTATAAAGTTAGATCTCACAATAGCAAAGTATACTTATTATCCCTACTATCAGCAGAGTTATACTACTGGGTACTATTACTAACGGTAGAGTACGAACTAATACTAGAGGTAACATTGTAAGCTGTAACTTACGTTTAACAGGTACACTGTACAATAGTAGTACTGCAGACACTACTGATTACGGTCTATAAATTATAGTATGACTATATTACTGCTAGTAATATGGAGTAATGCATAACATGCTAACAGTAACACTAAAAATATTTACTTGGGTATATTATAGTACTAACTGCTACTGCTACTACTACTACTACTGGTAGTAGTACTCAGTAGCACGAGCAGTAGCAGACAGTAAGAGCATAGGTTTATTACATTTTGTTACAAGTACTTCTTACTTAGTACTACATTACTGTTTAATTTTAAAGGGCAAATAAAAAACTTAAATGTGCTTAAGTAGTATTGCTTGTAGTAGTATTACTATTAGAATTACTATTACTAGTTTTGTTAGTAACAAATTATTTTAAATATAAACAACTGATACAATACGTTTAGACTCTGAAAATAAAGCTCAACAAGCATAAGTTCGTTAAGATCTACTATATTACTGATCTGAACATTATTCTTTTCAGGTAAACGTACTAATTATTGGACAATTCATTGTGAATTAAGCCTAAGACACTTCCTTACCTAGCAGACAACAATTACGTCATTAAATTGGTTCTTTTATCTGGGGTTCTATGTCCATATTTGAGCGTTTCTTTTAAAGTAAAATAAATTGTCAAACAGTGGTACTTTAATTTATTATCGCCAAAAAGTATTACTGATTTAAACGGCTACAATAAAAACTAAACCACAATGTAATTTTGGGGATCTATCTCTCACAATTAAATGTAAATACACAAAAATTCAATATATATATATTATAATTATAAATAAATGACCAGCAGATAGAGATATTCTTTAACTTTTAAGGAAGCGATATCTTTGAAGTGAGCTACAAAGATTTCCCAGGGGTTAAAGCCACAAAGCCGAAGTCCTGTATTGCAATAGTATAAAACTATTATTTTTGTAACCGGTTTTTTTTTGGGGCAACTTTTAATACATTTTATGTAGCTTGTTCATGTGTTTCAATTTTTGTTATATTTGTTTCAACTTTAATCAGAAGGTGTTATTGTTAATATAAACTTTATGGTATAACATTAGCAGAAAAGGGTGATCATCGTATTGTTACGCCTCCAGTCGTTACTTAATTTTCTGTAACTTCGTTCCGACGAAACTTTAGCGACACAAGTCTTTTCTTAAATAAAACTGGTTT